AAAATCGTGCCAGGGTTGCAATTTAGGCTCCGCCCCCGACTTCGCCCACTTTTCTCCGGAGTTTTTTTTCCCGGAATTTCCGGGGTCTCGGTTCAAGCGAGGGGATCAGAAAGCGCGCCCCAGTAAATTTTTCAAAAATTCTCAATTCGCTGCCGAACTTCGTTGGCTGAGTATCACAGTTTTAAACGATGAGCGAGAATACGCGTGTTGCAACCCGTTGATTTTTAAGAAATAGATCATGATCTAGTTCAAACCCGCGTTCATTTTAAAATTATGAAATTTCTTCTGACCTACGAGTTTGCTGGGGCGCTTTTTCTGACCCCCTCGCCTGAACCCAAGTGAGGTGTCACTTTTCTTAATTCGACAATATTTACAGTTTTGTTAGAATTCGGTACTTGTTTTCTCGAATTTTCGATACTTTCTCTAATTTTTCTCTAAAAAGCCAAAGATCATTTGGGATGAATATGAAGAAGGAAAGGCTGAGAAAGAAGAAGGAGGAAAAGGCGAAAAAAGACGGGATCCCGGTTGTTCGTCAATGGTCCGTCGACGGCCCCTCGGTTCTCCGTCGGCTGCTAACTAGCCGTTTTTTGCCAGCTTCCTCGTCTTCAGCGGTGCAGATCGGGCCTTGTTCGCCCTATTTCTAATCTCATGTCTTTACATGAGATTAGAAATAGGGCGAAGATTGTTTGAAAATAGAAAGTTTATATGGCGATTGTTCAAATGCTAAAAAACAAAGAGTTCTACAGAATACAAAAATGGCAAGATGCAAGACTAGAGACTGTTACAAAGCATGATAATCAAATTTACACGAAAAAATGGCTGGTGAATAGGGGAAGAAAAGCATTGTGCCTGGGAAAATTGAGCAAAATTGAACAGGAAATCATTGGGGAACAAACAAAACGTATTATGCTGTAAAAATTACGTACATAAAAAAGAGAGAATCAAGAGTAAAGCTGCATAAGAGCACGGATGATATAGTGACTGGTACCGTACTCTCCAGCTGGTGCTGAATCATAGAAGTGTTTACAGATGCTGCGGGCTCCATCGCATTTTGTGTTATTCGGATTTGATGAGGCGCAGCATTCCAATACGAGAGTTTCAAGTTGTTTCTGAAATATTCTCATGAAATATGTTGTACTGCACGCTCTCCCACAGAAAAGTTTTGATAGAATCCTGTATGGTCCTTTTTCGGAAGAAAATACTTTAAAAAAGTCATTTTTCAAGATTTTTTACAGAACAAATGGAATTCCTCTCTCAGTTTCCAACATTACTAGGAGTTTTATAGCTCACAAGAACCGCAAAACT